CTGTGTAAATTCCTCATCTCCGTATTATATATAATAATAATAATAATAATACTGGCCCCTAAGGGTATTGGTATGAGTAAATGAGGTAATACAATCTCATAAAATCTCAACAACAACAAAAAAGTCAGGGATGCTTGGTTATCTTATGTCTTTATTTTTTTTCTATCCATCTTTTTAATGTTTACTTATATTTTTATATCCTTAGACAATGTTTAAGTTACCACATTAATTTGTAAATGGTATGAATAAACATTGGATATTTAATTGCTGCCATGCATTTTGAATGGCTGTTTAAGGTAATTTTTAATATTAGACTTAATTTCAAAGTCTAAAAATGAGGCATGTTTCATAAGAGAGAAGAATTTTTGTTTTTTACATTTTTCAGATTTTTTATTTACCTGCATAAAACCTCACACACACCACAAGGCAGACCTAAGAACCAACCCCAAGATGCACCTATGTCTTGGATCAAGCCCACCACCAGAGTCTGTGTCATGGCACCAAGGGCTGGGGGGTTGCCCAGATTGGAACTAGGTCTTGGGGGGGGCGTCTTTTGCAGAGTCCATGAGACTGTGCCCAGACTTACACCAGGGGTGATCATAGCCAAGTGGCCTGTTCAGGGTAGGGGGCTGGCTGTCGATAGATTGGGAAGAGGGCCTGAGTGGCATCTCAGCAGCAGCAGGCCAGGAATTCCTATCAAAGGGCAGCACAGTGGGTCCAGCAGCATGAGCAGCCTTCAGGGGGCAGCACTTGTCTGGGGTCTTAGTGACTAGCTCTGGCTCAGCTTCAAATGGAGGCTGGGGGCTTGCCAAGCCCCAGGTCCGGGGTCTCCAGCAGTTCTGTATCCCCAGGAAATTCTGAGTCCCACTCATAGTTCTCCATGAACATGTTCCTCCTCTTGCTGACTATCACCACTTGTTCCCATCAGGGCCACAGGCCCAGCTGCTGGTGACCCCTGGAGTGGGGCTGAGGTAGCTGCCTCCTGCAGAGGGGGCTTGCAGGAAGGAAGCGCTGCCCTTAATGCTGCTGTGGCTGGTGAAGCTGCAGGGGCAGAGGGGTATCAGTGGGAAGGAGGCTAGGAAGCAGCCTCTCCTTCAGGGTCTACTCAGCCAATGCTGTGTAAGTTGAACTCTTGGGTGGCACCAATCTCTACCATTGCCCCAGGGAGCACAACTCTGGGGGAGACAGGGTGAAGGAAAGATGACATGGGGCAGGACTGGGATCCTCAAGGGAAGGCCAGTCCTCATCCACGTTCATCTCCTGAAGAGAGAATTAAAGAAATTACTTCATTTTTAAGAATGCATTAATGTCCTCCCCGCTCCCACTACCATGACTCGAATTCTATCTTGCAAGACTGGCTAGACCAGAGGAGGTACACTGGTACAGATAGGAACTGAAAATACAGGGAATCCAGGACGGATGAGCCCTATAGGACCAGTGGTGTGAGTGGCAAAACAGGGAGGGCAAAGGGAGAATGGGTAGGAAAGAGGGAACCGATTACATGGAACTATATGTGACCTCCTTCCTGGGGGACAGACAACCGAAAAGTGGGTGAAGGGAGACGTCGGATAGGGCAAGATATGACAAAATACCCATCTATAAACTATCAAAGGCTCATGCGGGAGTGGGGAGCGGGGAGGGAGGGGAAAAATGAGGACCTAATGTCGGGGGTTTAAGTGGAGAGAAAATGTTTTGAGAAACGATGTACAAATGCGCTTTACACAATTGATGTGTGTATGGATTGGGATAACAGTTGTATGAGCCCCTAATAAAATGTTAAAAAAGAAAAAAAGAATGCATTAATGTTAGTCTGTGAACAGAACATTTGTGAACCTTGCATAAATATAATACGATGCTTAGTTAGATGTTAATTGATACCATATCTTGCTTGATCAACCAGAAGTTAAAATTATGAAGCAGGAAAGTGGATGAAACTAACCACGATCTCTATATGGCCTGGAATGACCTCATGGCTTGTTATAAAGTACTGGTTTCAAAATTACAAATAGATACAATAATCATACATGTTAAATTAGGTTTTAAAACAATCATTTAATATCCAGAGATTTCCAGTGGGTAAAGGACTATCCTAATGGAATTCTTTTTCTACAAAAAGTAGAATTGATGAAAATTGGATAAGATATCTTGCAGTATATATCCTCTACATCAGGGAAATGTTCACATTTGGTAGCACATTATTTGGGAGTATGGCCAATACTACATCTGGAAGGAAGTTGAACTAGAAAACTTCTGAATTCATTTCCAGCTCACACAATTCCATCCAAAATGAAGGTATTGAGGAGCTATACTTGAAATTGTTATTGTTAATTTTAAATTGAGATTCTCTTTTTTCCTCTTATATGAATTATCAAGATAGAAGCTTGAGTCATAAACATTTAGTTTAAAAACTCACTGTCATCAAGTTGATTTCTCATATTGGCCCTATTTTGAGTTTACAAGGCTGTAAATCTTTCCGGGCATAGTATCCTCATCTTATTCCTGAAGAGCAGCTAATCAATTTAAACCGCCATCCTTTTGCTAAGCAGTCAGTGCTTAACCTTCAGCACCACTAGGGCACCTTCTGTTTGATCCAGAAATACTATAATGATCTGTTTTAGATGCTTACACAGTTCTTTTAATATCCACTAAAGAGTATTTTGAAAGTAAGGTCATTGTAAAAAAAATCCTTAAAAAAAAAAACACCAATTCCTGTTGCGTAATGAAATAAGTAAAAAGACAGAAAAAGGCAAATATGTAGAGAATAAAGTTTATTGGGCTTTACTGGGGTGGAAGAAGTGGATAAAAGTATTAATGGCCATGGAAAAATTGCATTAAATTAAAGGTAGGAAAAAAAAATTAAAGGTAGAAGTTGTACAGCCATTTATTACAACTGCTGTCAGTAAGGTGTACCCCTGTTTTAAAGAAAAGTAATTGGTAATAGTTGTGTGATGGCTTACCTACAGCAACAAAAGTGAAAACATACACCTCATGAGATTTGGTTTCGTGGTTTGGAAGTTGAGGGTCACAGTTGCTGTTAAGTGCCTTCAAGTCCGATCTGACTCACGACGCCGCCGCCAGGCATCCGATGTCCAGCGCCATCCTCACCACTGCTCTCAGGTGGGAGCCCATTGCTGCAGCCACTGCGTCCACCCATCTTGTTGAGGGCCTTTCTCCTCTTTACTGCCCCTCTGCTTTATGAAGCATGATGCCTTCTCCTGGTTTTGGTCTTTCCTAATAACGTGCAAAATACGTAAGACTCACCATCCTTGCCTCTCAGGAGCGTTCTGGCTATACTTATTCCAAGACAGATCTCTTTGTTCTTTTGGAAGTCCATGATACCTTCAATATTTTTTGCTAACACCATAGTTCATATGCATCGATTTTCCCTTTGTCTTCCTTCTTCAGTGTCCAGCTTTCCTATGGCTTGAAAATACCATGGCTTGAGTCGGGCCCCGTAGTCATCAAAGTAAGGCTTTTACTTTTCACCACTTAAAGAGGTCCTGTGCAGCAGATTTACACAATGCAGTGCATCGTTGGATCTCGTGACCACGGCTTTCCATGAGCATTGATTGTGGATCCAAGCAAGACAAAAAGCCTTGACAACTTCAATCTTTTCTCTGTTTACCATAATGTTACCTACTGGTGCAGTTGTGAGGATTTTGGTTTTCTTAATGTTGAGTTGTCATCAGACTATAGGTTGCAATCCTTGATCTTCAACAGCAAGTGTACTCAAGTCCTCCTCCCTTTCAGCAAGCAAGGATGTGTTATAATCATAGGCTGTTAATAAGCCTTCCTCCCATCCTGATGCTGGATTTTCTTCATGTGATCCAGTTTCTCTGCTGTCCCCTCAGCATAAGAAATGAATAAACATGGTAAGAGAAAGCAGCCCTGAAACTCGCCTTTCCTGATTTTAAACCATAGAGTATTCCCTTGTTCTGTTTACACAACTGCATCTTGATCCATGTACAAGTTCTGCATGAGCACAGTGAATTGTTCTGGAATACCCTTTCTCCTCAAGGCTATCCTTCCTTTGTTATGATCCACACAGTTGTATCCATCCTTTGTTATAATCCACACAGTTGAATGCCTTTGCATAGCCAATGAAACACAAGTAAACATCTCTCGTTCTTGAATCAAATAGTTTTTGATTCATAGCAACCTCATGCACAACAGAACTAAACACCATCTGGTCCTGGTTTATTTTATATGCAGCAGGATGGCAATCACAATGAAGCCTGTAACAAGCACACCTTAAAACCTTTCAGTATAGTCCCCACCTTTGAATGACCCAGGCACCTCAGGAAAAGGTCAGTTAGTGGGAGTTACAGAAACCGTGGTTGGAAGGGCTTCATTAAATAATTGGCTGTGTTGCAGTGCCTAAATCCTTCATAACGAGCTTCCTCTGCAGGAGACAAGACGCATTGGGCAGTGCCTGGCCACAGTTACTGGACAGCTTGAACAAAGATTCTGTAGAAAACTCCTGATCAAAAGAAGGAAAACACAGAACAGAATTTCATACTTTCACAGACGCTAGATGTTCTGGAGCTTTGGAAGCTAGATGAACTGAAATGATTGCCCTGAGATCATCTCTAACTCATAAACCAAAAGATAAACCCCTGAATCATCTTTAAATCATACCATAATATAGCTTAGCTAGTTTGGGGTTAGGGGGGCTGTTTGAGAATATGTTCTTCTAAGAACTATTTCCATAGTTTCAAATATATATAAAACAGCGTGAGGGGACAAATTGATGTGAAGGAGGAAGGAACAACTCAGAAAAGGAAGGTGAGGATAGTTGCCCAACTCAAACCAATGTAATCAGTGTTGATTAACTCAGTTTTGAATTGATCCAAGTTTTCCTGTGTATATTCTCAACAGCAAGATAAAATGTCGAAGGAATAAAAGGGATAATCATATGAATGAAATTGTTTTAAGGTAGCTCCCTGCTGTGTATCACTTTATTTTGTTGCTCTATCGCGTGATCCCTCCCTCTCTCGCAGGAGCTATTGTGACAATCTTGGTTACCACCCATTAAGTGCTGCTGACTTCGGGAAGATAATGAAGAATGTCTTTCCAAATATGAAGGCACGGCGCCTGGGCACGAGAGGCAAATCGAAATATCCTTTACCAAGGGGGTTTTAGTAATCTCTGAAGTTTTTGCTTATTACAGAACATCTGTTGTCGTTCAGCGAACAGATATAGTTAGAAATAAATTTAAATCAAATATGAACAGCTTAAAAGTTCTTAGTAGAAAACTTGCAAACCTTATTTTTCCAGCTACTTATTAAACTACAGGAAAAATGGCAGATAATGTTTTTTGTGCCTTACTCATCATTACAATGTATTTAATGGTCTAATCTTTTTTCTTTTCTGATTTTTTTCTTTAGTAGTAACAGTTTTAGGGACATACGATCATTCAGCAATTGTAAAGTATATGATATTATTCTTTACTTCTTTTTCTCTCTGTAACTTAGACATATTGAGATCATATATATGTATACATATATTCACACATACATATATGTACATATATAAAACAATCCAAACATTTTGTTGTGGAAATGCAACTGAAAGATTAAAAATTTACTAAAGCCCTTTCTGCTCTGGGAAAAGTAATGTAAAATAGAAGGTATTTTATTATATTAGAAATAACTCATTTCTTCCTGCATAGCTGTTGGTCTTTTGTAAAGCATAAAAGTCGCCACTGGGGGGAGATAGAGGACAGGGAAAGGAAGGCCCCTTTCTAAAATGGCCCCAGATGTTCTTCAGCACCTAGCTGCATGACCTGTCCTTGTTTCCTGAATGCAAACAAAGATGTCTCGATATGTCTCTGGCATGTTGCAGGTGATAATCCTGTGTGTTTCAGTGGAAAAAGAAAAATGAAAAGGTTAAAGCCCCTGTGACACTCTTAAGAGATGTTTCTTTCTCGGTGCCCTGGGCTAAAGTTTCCCTCCCTTGTGCCAGGTTTCCATCTGGCTAGGCCCTTCCTTCTGACCTGTGTGTCTCTGGTGGCTGGCACAACCTGTTAGGAACATTTACTCATAAAATTTGTAACAGAAGAGAATCATTTACTTTTATTTGCGATAGTAACATCATATTATTCAATATCAATGATTCCGGTTTTGATAGAGTAAACTTTTCTTGAGTTTTAAAATTCATGATTTTCTTGCTCAGGAGTGCAGAAAGGGTTTGTCTCATGCTAATTTTATTCCCATTTCATATACAGTTCTTCTCAGATGCAAGATTTAATGTACACACATATATAAATAATTCATTGAATTTACGGTATTTTTAGACCTTAACTCTCTAGTACATATTGCTACAGTGGATTAAGAAAAAAAGCTCTTGTGCATATGCCGACACTGCCCAACCTTGACTTCCACAAAACTGGAGATGGGGTAAGCCTTCTTTCTTTTATTTGTAATAAGCAGAATTGTACTTTTCTGTCAACACTGAGGTGCATACTGCATAGTCATATTTGGATCACAGCGAGGACCAGGAACCGCACAAAGTAGGTAAAACAAAAAAAGCCTCCAGTTGGCAGCAAACTGTTAGCATATCTGATTTACATCAATAGTGCTGGTGAAACGAGAGACAGCAAAAAATAGTTTTAAGATGACTGATTCATAAATATATCCAGGATGTAGTATCAAGAGCAAAAAAACACGTCACAAGGTAACACATGTGTGACTTTTTCCAGAAGAAGAAATAGACTACTGACACAGAAAGAAGAGCTAGGCTAGCAGTATAATTTGTTTTATAATGTGATAAAGATCTTTTAGAAAGATTTTTAAAATCAAGGGAGCTTCAAAAAGCTTATAGGGCAATGGGATTTTCCTCACAAACTTTTTGAAAGCCCCTCCATACTGGCTTTTATATTTGTTTAATGCTGTTCAATATGTTACATTCACAGTGCATCTTGTGGCTGTACACTGGTAGGTATAGAACTCTTGCTTGTAAGGCTCTAATATGCCAAAAGGAGCCTTGGAAGCACAGTGGTTAAAGCATTCAGCTGCTAACTGGAAGGTGGGCATTTAGATCCCACCAGCCATTCCATGAGGGAAAGATGAGCAGTCTGCCTCCGAAAAGATTTCAAGCCTACGAAGCTCTTTGGGCAGTTTTACTCTGTCCTATGGGGTGGCTGTAGAACAGAACCAACACATAGCGATGGATTTGGTTTGGTGGAAGGTACCCAAAGGTCATTTCGTACTACTTTAACTCAACAGATTTAGATTTCCTCACCTGCTTAAGGGTGGGCTTGAATTAAAGGTTAATTTTCTCTTTCCTTTGTTTAGTTGGAAGGAGTTGAACCTTCTGGGCAGCTTCAAAATATTGATGAAGAAGTTATCTCTTCTGCTTGCCGTCTTGTGTGTGAATGGGCCCAGAAAGTCTTAAGCCAACCATTTGACACAGTGTTGGAATTAGCCCGCTTCCTTGTAAAAAGTCACTATATAGGCACCAAGTCAATGGCAGCTCTAACTGTAATGGCAGCAGCACCAGCAGGTACGAAATGGACTATTGTTAAATTAATTGATCAGACCAGAATGTTACTAATGTAGAATGGGTAGTAAAAGAAGAGTGGAGCCAAGGAACTTCACCTGTTGAGTGTTTATACACCTTCACTTCCGTTCCACTTCATAATCACTAAACTTGTATTGGTTTGCTGAACCAGCAACCACAAAATAACAATCCTCATTATAAAACTGAAACTTTTTGTCTATTGCTCTGCTGGAATATGAAAGGTAAGATTTCCCCGTTGGTATTATTTTTTATATTGCTTTTTAAGAGTTATAAAAAGTGACTATATGTGCTTTAAAGATGTGACTGTACGTGTAGATGAGAGGGCTTCAAACAGTTTGTGGAAGAATGAAATTAAAGATTTTGGCAAGCTTTTTATAACCTTCACATAGGTGCAACTAAATTAATAAATTGAGTTGAAGTAAAATATAAGATTGAATTTTGAAATTACTTCCTCAAGAAACTAATGCTTATAAATAAAATAATCTGGGGGCACTGTGAAAGGTACCTTAAGCTTACAAAAGATAAAATGTATAAAGCATTATAAAGTAGCAAAAGTGATGTGTTTTTAATATGTATTTAAATGATATTTTCATTCAAAGAGGAATGTTTGAGGAATTGATGGTGTTAGAGTAAATGACTTCCTCTTAAATTAATAACTGTGAAATTTGTTAAGTATCAATTCTGATTAAATATTTTAAATGTCTTGTGCAGTCATACCATAAAACCTGAAGAAGAACTAACAGACTAAATTGTGTCATTACTGTTAGGAATTATTATTTCTGTGGAAAACATATTAACATGAAATTTGTTTTCTAAGGATGATTCGTCTCATGATTAAATCTAAATATTTTATCTTTTAAAATCTACAGATTTCTCCCATCCAGAACTGTAGTGTCTCAATTAGCTTGGCTTTCAAAAAATTTTTACTATCTGTTACATTTTAACTCCATAGTATCATTTCCCTTCCAGTGTCCATTCCTCGGTGCTTTACATTTTCACCGGAGGAAAGAGAGAGAGTGTGTGCATGGCTCTGTCCTTTATGTTCAACTAAGCAACAGTGTTACAAAATAAACTCTAGTTTAATTTGAAGTCTAGTCACAATTACCCGAGTGCCTCAGTGCAAACTCTAACACCTAAATCTCTTCACCAAGTGACCTTACACCCTACATAACTCACATATATTCCAAGAGTCCTGTGAGGTAGGTAGTATTTATTTCATTTTAAAGATTGGGAAACAGACTACTTGAGGAGGCTGAATCTCATTTTCTGGCAAAATGAGGCTCTAAAAATTGTGGACTTTTTTGTATTCTCTGTCTCTTACCACTACTGTTACCTGGATGGATTGACTGGCGTCGAGTCAAGACTGACTCATAATGACCCTGCAGGGCAGGGTGTAGAACTTGCCCCCTGTGAGTTTCTGAGACTCTGTTTTGGGGAGTAGAAAGCCCTATTTGCCTCCCAAGGAGCTGCTTGTGGTTTCAAACTGCCGACCTTGCAGATCGCAGCCCAATGCCACTACCCCACCAGGACTCCTACTGACTCCTAGAGTGGTGCTCTAACAGGTTGAGGATTTAGGAGACATCATGGAGAAAAGAATCCTTTCTCTCACTCATTCCCCACATTAGTCAGAGGCTAATGGCCTAAAGACATATTGAATGAATGGGTTATCAAGTATAAAGTAACGTGCTTTTTTAACCAAACTACTAAAAATTACGTGTATGTGTGTGTGTTTTCTCTTTCTGAAAGTAGTTACCTGAGGAGACTAAACACTAATAATTGTATTATTACTCAAAGGAGTTTTAGAATTTCTTGAAATATTCTCAGTTCTTACATTATTTAGACTATCCATCATAGTGGTGATTAATCTTTGTCCCTTGAGGTGCATTTGGGGGGAGATATCTATATATATATATATCTATATCCTCCTTATTAAAAACAGGTTGTTACAAAAGCCCTTTTGCTTTTGTTAGCTGCGTGGAGCTCATCATTTCTCTCTACAAACTCTGACAGGATAAAAGCACCTGAGCTGTGAGCCATTGACCGAGGCTCTCAGGTACAGTGGCTGGGAAGCCAGAGATGAGGTGGATCTGGGAGGGAGAGTGAGCTGGATTTGAAGAGAAAAAACTAGTACTTAGGGAATAAGAAAGGGGTCACAATTGAGTGTGTGGAAGAGGATTTCCACTCTGTTCTTTGTCTTTACTGCTCTCCCCACCTCAAATTATTGGTGTGGACTAGGGTAAAGAAAAGGGAACTCTGGTGGCGTAGTAGGTTACGAATTGGGCTGCTAACCGCGAGGTCAGCAATTCAAAATCACCAGGACTCCGTGGGAAAAAGATGAGGCATTCCACTCCCGTAAAGAGCGATTGTCTCCAGGAGCCTGGTGACGGAGTGCTTTAACCTGAGTTGGGCTGCAATTGGCAAGAGGTATAGCTCGGAAACCCACGGGGGCCGTTCTTGCGCTGTCCATAGTGTCGCTGTGAGTCAGAATCGACTCCGTGGCAGTGAGGATGAGGAAAAGCAGAGACGAGACTCAGAAAAGGAAGAACAAGTCGTGCCACTAAGAGAGTGTTTCCCTCGATTTTCTTTCCTACACGGTTTTTGCCCATCTTCGTTTTTGATGTTCTTAGTGCCACATTACACATGAAAACCGATTTTTTTCTTTTTTGAAAACTTCCCTGAGTTGAACTGTATTTCAAGGGATCACTTAAAACCATTTTGACAACTCTGTAAATTGGAAGCACGTTTCAAAAGAAAGCATGAATTGAAAATTGCAGCTTTGGTTGTTTTGTCCAGTAGATGGCTGCATATCCAAAGAGACTGAGTGCTAGCCACCCTTTCTAAAGAAGAGTATTGACTTTAGTTTTTCTTTCTATTTGTTTACAGGTATTAAAGGAATTGCCCAGCCTTCTGCATTTATACCTACAGCTGAAAGTAATTCCTTTCAGCCTCAAGTGAAGACTTTGCCATCTCCGATTGATGCTAAACAACAATTGCAACGGAAAATCCAAAAGAAGCAACAAGAGCAGAAACTGCAGTCCCCTCTGCCAGGAGAAGCCTCAGCGAACAAGTCAGAAAGTGCAGCAAGCAATGGAGTCGCTAATCTTTCTAATGGCAGCCCTGCAATCCTTTCTCCTCAGCCTATCGGTATCGTCGTAGCAGCTGTCCCTAGTCCCATCCCGGTAATACTAAATTACGTTTGGCTTTATTGAGATGGGGGCAGTCAGTCATCTAAGTAAAAAGTGGTAGATGGGAAGGAGGCAGGTGCGTATTTCGATGCAGTGACAAGCTGATTTTGAGGCCATAGACAGATTTAGCTTGATCAGTTGCCTTTCACTCAGGCTACATGCTGCTGATTACAAACTGCACTGCGAAATGACATACGTGAATACAGAGACACAATATATACCTAGAGCTTATATAAACAATGAGTCATTTTTTGAGTTGTTTAATCTCTGGCTGAGCCAAGATGGCACAATTGCAAACTTTAAAAAATTGGGTTATTTAAAAATATATATTTAGATGCAGAAAATTATAGCATGTTTTGCTAGCATTGGAAATTTCCTTAACTGCTCTTGAGCTTTGTTTCTCCTTATCCGAGGTTAATAGTACCGTCCTTTCCTGTGACACACAACCAGAGTTAGAGGAGAGGGCTTTTAGTTAAAGGAGTATCATTCTACAGTAAGGTGATACATCATTATTGATATTGTTGTGCAGTATTTTATTTTCTCTTGTTCTATTTATCATCACCATAATCATGTTATTAAAACGTGCAATGATGTCTGGTTATACACTCTGGCATTATTTGCTAAAAAGTAAACTTGGGTACATGGTAGTTCTTTCTGGAATTGTATTCATAGTAGTGTAGCTAAGATCCAAGATGTTAATTGTTGTCAGTTGCCATTGAGTTAGTTGTGGCCATTGGTAACCTAATGTTTTTCACAGTAGGATTGCTCCGTGGGGTGTTCTTGGCTGTGATCTTAATAGAGGCAGATCACTGGGCCTTTTTTTACCCCCAGTATTGTTGTGCTACATAGAAATCAAAGTCCAAGGTAGACTTAGTTATAAGACCGTTTCCTCTATAAGTGAGTTACATGGCATAGACTCCAGTAGACCCCTTTATAATTGTATGTTTTTTCAAGGTTTCATCTCCTTTTCTTCAAAGATCCCTAAAAGTCATTGTTTCACCAAGTACTCATCGAAAGTGTGAAGTGTTTAATCTTGTAAATTGAAAAATGTTATTTTTCTTACTTTATTTTATAACATTGTTGCATCGTGGTTGTATTTATTATAATTATTTATGACAATGTAGAGCATCGTCCAAGAGAACTCTCTTTTACCATAGGAACTTTCCTTTTTTAAAAAAAATTAACATTTAATAAATGCCTGCATCTGTAAATTACTGTTGATATTTCAGACTGACCAAATCTGGATTTTGGTGTTTGTTTTTTTCCCTCCTCCTAACAGGTCCAGAGGACCAGGCAGTTGGTAACCTCCCCAGGTCCAGTGAGTTCTTCTGATGGCAAAGTTCTTCCTCTCAATGTGCAGGTGGTCACTCAGCACATGCAGTCTGTGAAACAGGCACCAAAGACTCCTCAGAACGTGCCAGCCAGTCCTGGTGGGGATCGTTCTGCCCGGCACCGGTACCCTCAGATCTTACCCAAACCAGCCAACAGCAGTGCGCTCACCATCCGCTCTCCAACGACTGTCCTCTTTACTAGCAGCCCCATCAAGACTGCTGTCGTCCCTGCTTCCCACGTGAGTTCTCTGAATGTGGTGAAGATGACAGCGATATCCCTGACCCCCAGCAACAGTAGTGCTCCTCTTAAACACTCTGCCTCCGTAAGCAGCGCTGCAGGAGCAACAGAAGAGTCGAGGACCATTCCACAGATCAAGAATGGGTCTGTTGTTTCCCTTCAGTCTCCTGGGCCCAGGACCAGCAGTGCTGGGGGGACATCTGCTGTGGAAGTCAAAATGGAACCTGAAACATTGTCAGATGAGCAGCCTGTACAGTGCCAAGACAACGCTGATGGGGCTAAAGCTCCCAAAACAACACCTAGTGCCCTTCTAGGGCAGAAAAGTCACGCAGACGGAGTAGTGCAAAAACCTTCAAATGAAGGAATCAGTGAAGTAAAAGCAACTAAGGTCTGTGACCAGAGGACCAAATGTAAAAGTCGTAATGAAATTCTGCCGGGCACTTCAACGGGCAATAATCAAAGCACTGTCACTCTCTCAGTTGCCACTCAGAGCTTAACTTTCACCAGCACCAGCTCACCATCTAATGGTGACTCAATAAATAAGGACCCTAAATTATGCACTAAAAGTCCACGAAAGCGACTATCTTCAACATTACAAGAGTCCCAGGTGCCTCCTGTAAAGAAACCAATTGTGGAACAGCTTTCTGTGGTTATCATTGAAGGTCAGAAACCAGACAGTGTTACAAAGGACCAAAAGGTTCCACATTCAGGGAAAACAGAAAGTTCAACAGCTGGTGCTCAAATCCCTAGCACAGTCTCAGTAAATGTCAGCTCACATGTAGTGGCAAGTCAACCCTTGAATTCCTCTGCTCTTGTTCCCAGTGATTCGGCTTTGGAACAGCCAACAACACCATCATCATCTCCAGATATAAAAGTGAAACTTGAAGGAAGTGTCTTTCTCTTGGACAGTGATTCCAAATCAGATGGCAGCTTTAATCCAAACGAATGGCAACAGGTCACTAAGGATTCTGAGTTTATCTCTGCCAACTGTGAACAACAGCAAGATATCGGCGCTATGACAATTTCTGAGCACCCTGATATCCACGATTTAGAGAAATCTGTTTGGGAATTGGAAGGAATGCCACAGGACACATATAGCCAGCAGCTACATAGCCAGATGCAAGACTCTTCTTTGAATCCAATACAAGCACAGTCTTCGGATCAGTTACCGCTGCAGTCTGACTTGAAGGAATTTGAGTCTTCTGTCCCTCAGACGAGTGAGAGCTACTTCCCGTTTGACGATGAGCTAACCCAAGACAGTATCGTGGAGGAGCTGGTGCTTATGGAGCAGCAGATGTCTATGAACAGTTCTCATGCTTACGGCAGCTGTTTGGGAATGCCCCTGCAGAGTCAGTCAGTCACCCCAGGAGCCCCAATGTCATCACAGGCCTCTAGCGCCCACTTCTATCATCCAATCCATAGCAATGGCACTCCAATCCACACACCCACACCCACTCCTACCCCAACCCCGACCCCGACCCCAACTCCCACCCCAACGTCTGAAATGATTGCTGGGTCTCAGGGTCTATCTCGGGAGAGCCCTTGCTCCAGGCTAGCCCAGACTACACCTGTGGACAGTGCTTTAGGAAGTAGCCGGCATACACCCATTGGTACTCCACATTCTAACTGCAGCAGTAGTGTCCCTCCCAGCCCTGTTGAATGCAGGAATCCATTTGCATTTACCCCAATAAGCTCTAGTATGGCGTATCATGATGCCAGCATTGTCTCAAGTAGCCCTGTGAAGCCAATGCAAAGACCCATGGCCACCCACCCTGACAAAACCAAGCTTGAGTGGATGAATAATGGGTACAGTGGGGTGGGTAATTCATCAGTTTCTAGCCATGGCATTCTCCCAAGCTATCAGGAACTAGTAGAAGACCGTTTCAGGAAACCTCATGCTTTTGCTGTGCCTGGGCAGTCTTATCAGTCTCAATCCAGATATCATGACAGTCATTTTGGCCGTTTGACTCCTGTCTCTCCTGTGCAGCATCAAGGTGCCACTGTCAGTAACACCAGTAAACAGGAGGGTTTTGCAGTCCCTGCCCCTCTTGATAATAAAGGAACGAATTCATCTGCCAGCAGCAACTTCCGATGCCGCAGTGTGAGCCCTGCTGTTCATCGCCAACGAAATCTTAGTGGAAGCACCCTCTATCCAGTGTCTAATATCCCACGGTCTAACGTGGCCCCCTTTGGAAGCCCAGTAACCCCAGAAGTTCAGGTCTTCACAAGCGCTCACACAGACGCGTGTGCCAACAACATAGCTCAAAGAAGTCAGTCCGTTCCATTGACAGTCATGATGCAGACAGCCTTCCCGAATGCGCTTCAGAAGCAAGCGAACAGTAAAAAGATAACCAATGTTTTGTTGAGCAAACTTGATTCTGACAATGATGATGCGGTGAGAGGATTGGGAATGAACAACCTGCCTTCCAATTACACCGCCCGGATGAATCTCACTCAGATTTTGGAAACTTCCACGGTTTTTCCTAGTGCCAACCCGCAGACTATGATCGATTCCAGCACTTCTGTTTATGAATTCCAAACACCATCTTACCTCACCAAAAGTAATAGCACCGATCAGATCAGTTTTTCTCCTGGAGATAATCAAGCACAATCAGAAATTGGAGAGCAACAATTAGATTTCAATAGCACTGTTAAAGACCTGTTGAGTGGAGACAGCTTGCAAACCAACCAGCAGCTGGTAGGTCAGGTAGCATCTGATCTCACCAATACTGCATCTGATTTCTCTAACGATATCAGGTTGTCTTCTGAGCTCTCAGGCAGCATCAATGATTTGAACACTTTAGATCCAAATCTACTGTTTGATCCAGGTCGTCAGCAGGGACAAGATGATGAAGCTACACTGGAAGAATTAAAGAATGACCCCTTATTTCAACAAATTTGCAGTGAATCCATGAACTCCATGACTTCATCGGGCTTCGAATGGATAGAAAGCAAGGACCATCCGACTGTTGAAATGTTGGGTTAAATTGTGTTTTATAATATGTAGCACACTGTATCTAAAGACATACGTATTGTCTTTGTCTTAATGGAAGTGCCTCCGCAGCAGAAACACTTACTATTAATTGTGACATTTTAAAAGCGTTTGCTGCACAAGTGGTTTCTTCTTCAGTAGGAAATGGTTAGACTTGCCTCAGTTCTTAACAAGTTTCTGACGACAGTAGGCTGTAGAAGAGCCAGCATTAGGTTTTCAAATTTATAATGCCCCCCCATTTAATCACATCGTTAGCTAGTGAACAATGGACTAACCAGCTTTCGTGAGCGATCTTAGATCTTTTTATTTTGTATAAGTTCATTTTAATTCATCTGTTGATCTGCACCGATTTTAGGAGGAACCATTGATTTTAGGTATAGGCTATTTTTTGTTGTTGTGGGTATTTTAGGTATGAAATCATAGCTGAAGTGAACTGTATGTAGACAAGAAGGTCTTCCTTCAAACAGGGATAATATTCAGGTTCTTAAGTATTTAGGCTTGAAGCATAAAGCTACTGTAGAGTGAAAAATCTCTGTAGGACTTTCTGGGGCTTCAGTACCACGTAACCTACAATGAAGGGCTTAAATAGAAAATAATGGAAAATTAAATATTTAAGGAAAGCAAAAGCTGCATGGAAAATTTTAAGAGGAAAAACTAGTAGCCACTGTATATGTGATCTTGCACTAGGCTTATTTTTAAATGTTGGTTTTAGCTAACAGACACACCCATGAAACAAAGAACTTCCAAGCTCATTTAAATAGAGTAAATACAAGCATGTTAGGAAAATGTTTCCTGGTTTCTTATTTGATAGTTGAGATAAGGGAAATGAGAAGGAGAGTTCAAGTGTTTTCTTAGTTTTCATCACTATAGCTGCATGCACATATTAAAATTCTATTTAAGGTTTCTCTTTAAATTTTTAATTATAATATACTTTAGTAATCTTCTGGGCCCTCTCCACCCCTCGATTTAGTGACGGACTCCTTTGCTCCTCCTGAATATAACTAATGCAGTTTGATCATGAAAATCAAAGAAGCAGGAAGGAGTTAACATAGAAAACTAAACAAATATTTACCACCCAAGGTCTGAAGCCACACATCTTATATCTCTGCTAAAACAAAGGGGATATGGATAGTACTTGAAGAAGAGGAGCATTTTATTACATGCTTAATTTATTTATTGTGATAACCACAATTGCAAAAGAAGCACTCAGGATTTGTTTTTAAATGTTCTCTTTATGGCTCCCGTTTTGTTTTGTTTTTTGTTGTTGTTGTTGCTCTCATTTTGTTTTAGAAATAATTATATATGAATTACATGTAAACACAACTCTGCTCACTTGTTGACAGCTCCATTTAGTGAGTTTTGAAATCACTTTCAAAGAGATTTTAAAATTGTTGTTTGAGTCTTTAGAGCTAACATTAAACCATTGTTATGCAACCTAGAACCTTGCTAAGCTTTCCTTGACCTTAATTAATCAGTCAATCAGAAGACTACAATCAATGAATATTTAACAGATGTGATGAAGGGTTTAATTTAATAAGGTTTCATTATTCCATAAATTTGCAAGGTAGAGTATCAACATATTTTGATAAATAATTGGTGCTAGGGTTGGCTCAGAGATTTATATATTGATATGTCCTAGTTATTGGCATTTGTGTGTTTGCTGTTATCTTGATTTAATCTGTTAGATACCTACCTTTTTCTTGATGCTAGTTATTTCTTCACTGTACATTGAGACACAGCACTACTGCACACCAAAGTATGCAATACCCAAAGGAAACTGTGATTTCTCTTCACTCATGATGGGAGCCTTTCTATCGGAGATACTCTGAAACGGAGATTTTGAGGCCATTCTAATCCCTTGTTTACATTATTAGCTTCCTACTAATATAAAAATAATGGAAATCTTTTTTGATAAAAATAATAATAATAATAAAGACTGGGAGATTTTTAACCCCCTGTACAGTATTGCAGCAAACACTTTAAATTTGGTTGAATTCGTCCAACAAACTTTCTGGGGTTCATATATTGCACTAAATTTGTTGAACCTGTGGTAGGCACATCTCTTAGGATAAATGCAACCAATACAATCCACAGATTAAACTTTTTAAATGTGTTTCATTATTAAAAGACAAAATGTCATCAAAGTGACAGATTAAATTGTCTTATGTAGCAATGTGCATTGATCTCAATGAGATATTTCTATTTCTTATTCTCTTACATGAGAATATTACAGCAGGAAGAATTACGTTTAGTTTGCTTCACCATGTTAATACATGATCACAAAATGTGCATGAGTGTTATTGACTTATCTTGTACAGTACTAGGTATTCCTGTAACCACTTTTTTTTCCCCTCCTTGGCTGTATTGAAACTGGTTCAGTGTCAACCAGACAAGCATAGTTATTCACAAGTTTCTTTTTATGTTTTACTAATTCTACTTAGTTCTTATTGACTATGTTCTCTTCTCAGATTATTTTCGTTGTTCTGATGTTTAAAACATTTTGCGTCATGTTCATCATGATAAGACTTCATGAAGTAAATAATTTTGCATATGATTGCAGTAAGCACTGACTCTTTGAACTGAAAAGAAGGAAACGTGTTTTTTTGTGCAGTGCATCTGAGGTTCATCTAACAGTCTTGTACTATAATGTGCTTTACTACATAAATGACACAACCAAGCCCTGGTCCATGTTTTCATTGAGTGCAAAAAGTCAGATTTCCCCCCTCCCTCCCCCCCTGGTGTTTTGTTGTTGTCTGTTGTTGTACCTGCTGAAACTACAGTAGTTGAATATTGCAGTAGCATTTCAGTTCTCTTTTTTTATTGAAAGTGCTCAAAAATTGTTTTTTAAATGTTTTCGAAACCAATTAAAAGCATTTTATATTAAACTGACTGGAACTTAAAGTGATTTATGAACTCTGTCCTACATAAACTGCATGCTGTTGTGCAAACTGACCCAGTATCATTCTTCCTGGGCTCGCATGAAATTCAAGGAAGTGAATAAAAACCAGTACAAGGCAAAACAATGCTGCCAATCTGCTTTCTGCTGTTAATCCAGGTGGATGAGACACAGAACCCTATTTCTTGGTACTCTGCTGCTCCCAGTGATAAACCAGTGGTGGAGGGTTGACGTGGTCCCCAAAGCCGCCATCTCTTCTCTTCTCTTGCTCCTCCTCTGGTTTGTTGTTTTGTTGGGTGCCTCTGAGGGGTTCCAGCCCACAGCCACCTTATGCGCAACAGAATGAGTCCCAACCTGGTCCTGCATCAGCCTCGCAATGGTGGCCGTGCTTGAGCCCGTAGTTGCAGCCACGGTGTCAGTGCACCTCCTTGGGGGCTTTCCTCTTTTTCACTGCCCCTCTACCTCGACACTCATGGTGCCTGTCCTCGTACAAGAGATTGTCTCATCATCCTTGATTTTAAGGTGGATTCTGGCTGTCTTTCCCCTAAGCTTTGTATGTTCCTCTGGCAGCACACAGTTTCCATCACGAACCCCGCAATTCAAAGTCATCAGTTCTCTGTGGTCTTTGTTGTCTCGCTTGCACAAGTGTATGAGGTGATTGAAAATATCCTGGCTTGGGTCAGATGCGCCTTAGTACTCTACATCTTTGCTCCTCCGACACTGTAAAAGAAGTCTTGTGCAGTAGTTTTGTCCAGTGCATATGCCTGATACTTTGACAGCTGCTGCCATTTTCCCTGCTGAAACCGTTGCTCCCATGAGTTTACCGGGTATCCAAGTAAAATGAGATCCGTGAAGACTTTAATCTCCGTGTATCATGATGTTGCCTCTTGGTCCAGAGGTGAGGAGTTTTGGGTTCTATTTACATGGAGTTGCCACCCATATACTGAAGACTGCAGTTCTTGATCTTCATCAGCAAGGGCTTCAAACCCTCATGTAAACAGGGTTACATATTAAAGATTGTCGATGAAGCTTCCTCCCACCCTGATGCTGCATTTTTCATGTAGTCCAGCTTCTTGGAATATTTGTTCAGCATACAGACTAGAATAGGTTTGGTGAAAGGATACAACCATAATGCACACTTTTCCTGATTTGAGGTCAGGCAGTATCCCTTGTTCTGTTTGAACGACTGCGTGTTATGCTGTGTACGTATTTTGTAAGCACGGTGCATGGAATTCTCATTCTTCCCAATGATAATGAGCTTTATATGTTTCCATTTCATTTTGAAGACTTACAATTTTCCTAGATTTATATCTTATACATTCCATGTTTTGTTTATTAATGGGTGTTTGCAAGTGTTTCTTCTAATGTTGAGTTGCAGCCGATTAGCAAGTGAAGGTCCTGAAAATGTTCCATCTACGTCATTGGGATCGGCTGTTTGCCTTCCAACTTGAGGGGCTCATCTGGCACCGTATCAGACAGTGTCCCACTGCTATTTGTAAGGTGTTCAGTGGCTAATCGGAAGTGAACCACCCCTTCTTTCTAATGTGCTTAATGGAAGCCCTGCTGTAACCTGACCACCAGGTGACTGCTGGTATTTGAAATACCAGTGGCATAGCTTATACAGCATCACCACAATATGCGAGCCACCACACTACAACAAACCAGCAAGTCGTTTATGGCGAATTTACTATGCGTATTGGGCCGTGGGAGAGCTGTGGGGATAAAAGAAAATCCAGAAGTTCTGGAGCCACATACATCCCTGAGCCAGAAATACAAAATGGTAACAAGCCTGAGTCTGGCCCATAGGCCTAAATGCAGACCGAAGGGGTAACTCCTGCCCGAATAATGAAACCAACGTCCAAAATGGAGCCCTTCCCTCTTGAAAGGGCCTTGGAAGCAATCTCCAGGGCCCGGGATGCCAGCACTTCCAGGGCCTGTGGCAGATAGCCTAGACCTGTGGGAGCCGCCATCACCAACCGAGCTCCAGCTTTGGGCGGGTGGGTGGAAGAGGGGTAGTGAGGAGCAGAAAGACTCCGATCTGCAAACTGAAATCAACGCACTTTAATGGTAAGAACCATCACCCAAGACAAAAGTGATCAACAGCCCGAGTTGTTATAAAATAAGTACATTAGAAACCTCAACAATGTAGAAGGGGGCTGGAATCTATATACATGCAAACATGAGAGCCACTAGTTGGGATGATGCAGAAATTCAGTGGATGAGAACCAGCTGCTAAGGGGCTTTTGGCTACATGTAAACCGCTGGCATTTTTAGCTTAAGGATTTGGGACATAAGAGATTCAAGGGTTTATTCAATGGCTCCGTTTTTAACAGGACCAGATTCTTTGGGTTTTTACATTCCATCATTTTCAGCTTTTCCGAGTGTTGCCTCATGGTCACAAAGTTGATGGCCACAGCGCTAACCGACATCACAAGACGAACATCCCAAAGGCAGTTCTTTGTGCTTTTGCCAGAATATCCTATTAGACGCGTAACCCGTTTAGTCTTTTTGACAGACGAGGTCAAAAACCCACGGTAGCACCAGTTATTTGACTCAGTTCATCTCAGTAGCTCGGAGTGGGGCCCACTTCCTGGAACATAGGGTCATCCACCTAAAGCGGTGGTTCTCAACCTTCCTAATGCCGCGACCCTTTTGTACAACTCATGTGACCCCGAACCATAAAATTATTTTCATTGCTACTTCATCGCTGTCATTTTGCTACTGTTATGAATCGGGTGACGCCTGTGAAAGGGTCGTTTGATACACACCCCCCCACAGGGGTCGCGACCCACAGGTTGGGAACCGCTGCTGTAGAAAGTAAACGCCCCAGACTTTTCAAGGCTTTCACCTTCCTTGCTGGGTTCCACCTGCCAACCTTTCAGTTATTAGTCAAGCAGGTAACCCTGCTGCATCCCCCAGGAACGCCTACTTTACTACAAAAGGCTTTAACCAAGAGTGGGTATGCAAATGACTAGCATGGAATGATCACTGAGCTATCATGAAGTCCTGCAGAATGGCATCCTGAATTCCCCACCACCACCCCATCAGGATTGGTAGGTCAAGAAAAGGTCAGCATGCCCTGGTTTTAGCACAGCATTTGAGTATCATTTCATAGCTATTCAAAAAGGGGAACCGGGAAGGGATACGTTTTCATGGATTCCAAGCTGCTTAAAGGAGTCCCTGGGGTGGGGTGGGGGGTGTAACAGAATGGTGAATGTAATCAGCTGTTACCAGAGAGATTAGCAATACAAATCCACCAAGAAGTGCCCCCAAAGAAAGACCTGGCAATCTCCTACCAAAAGCCCATCCACCGCAAAGCCTAGGGCACACAGTGCCACTCATCCACGTGGAATCATCGTGAGGTGGGAGCACTCCCACAGTAGATGTGTTTCCTCCGGCCATTGTGATCACTCATGTCAAGGGCAATTTTCAGCTCTGCCAATTATCGACCCAACCCTGGGAAATGTATTTAAATATCAGTAATGGCATGGCGCGGTTAGGTGAGCATTGGACGGCTAACTAATGGCAAGGTTGCTGGTGTTAACCCACCAGCGGCTTTCGTAAAGGGTGGGAGTCGCAATCAAATCAATGGCAGTGGGTTTGCTTGGGGGTTTTGTTTCATGGTGTCCGTCACAAGAACCATTCCTAGTGATGTGCCGCCTGGGGCTGTCTTCATCATGTTCGCCAACATCTTGAAAGAAGGCAGAAAAAGTTGGCTGTGGCTAATATTGAAAATCGCTGTGTTCAATTGCTACTGAACCATCTCCTGGTCTACAAAAGCTGCGCAGCCAAAAGAGTGACCTTCTAGACTTGCTTTCACCTTGAGTTCTGAGTGTGGGTTCCATTGCATCTATCAGATGCCTGGTTGGAAATTATGGAAGACCAAAATGTCGTGTGTGTGTGTGTGTGTGTGTGTGTGTGTGTGTGTGTGTGTGTGATTTGTTCTTCCCAGCAAGCTCATGAAATGCATAGGAATTTCCAGCAGTGGTGGTCTAGACTCTGTTGGAGATTTTTAACGTTCCAGTGCCAGGTACCGATTCTGTGCATGCCAGGAGGCCCTGGGTAGATGAGAGCTACGGCATTCGCAGCAGTAAAAGCAGCAACTTCCTGACTCTGGCTTCCTGATCCCTGGAGTGAGTCCAAGGATGAGCTCAGATCATTCCGCTGATAGTAAGCCCCACCCTGTGGTGATGGAAGTCATTTCTGGAAACAGTCTGAAGCCCATTCTACTTACTTATAAGCATCTAATGCCAAGGATTGAATTATTTTCTGCTTAAAATTCTAGAACAAATATTGCTTACTCTTATCCCTAACTGATAATACATACTTGTAGACTAAAAGTGGAAGACATCTGAGACCCAGACACAGTTCTGTCTTTCTTGTAACCTCTCTGCGTGTCAAGAAATAATATATGTCCCTCTTTCTTTCCAGAGGATTTTGGGAGGAGGAAGTGAGATACGACAATATTTAAAAACCCGAAGTATAAGCTCTTATAATTGTCATAAATGCCTATATAAAAGGACAGACATTTACCAGAAAGGCTCTTTTTAGTCCTTAAATTTTATGTTTGACTAGAACACACACATCCATCATAAGTAAAGTATAAATATAAATTTAGGCAAAGGGCTGAACTTTGAATTTGGATGAAAAGTCTTAAGAAATAACCATTAGTAAGGTTTATTTGGGTCAAACTATTGTCATCTGAGCAGGTTTGCTCAACAAGATACCTACATAGATTATTTGAATCATGTACCTTTTGTACTTGGGTTTCACATGTTTGAAATGCACCCAATTTAAATTTCCTAACACAAGTCACAAGATGCCCTGGTTGGCACAGTGGTTAAATGTTCAGCTGCCAAACAACAGGTCATTGGTTCGAACTCATGAGCTGCTCTTCAGAAGAAAGATGTAGCTGTTTGAGTCTGAGTCTGAAAACATTGATAGCCTTGGAACCCTACCAGGCAGCTCTGTGCTGGGCTACAGTCACCA